CCATCCTCTTGCCTCAGTCCCCCAAGTGCTGGGATTACAGACGTGAGCCATCATGCCCAGCTAGAGGCAGCCTTCTCAAAGGCAAAACGGGCAGGAAGCTCTGGGAAGAGGCCTCATGCACATTTCCTGTGAAACAGGAAGCCTGACTCACCATTTCCCAAGACAGCCTTAATTTAGGCTCTTCCTTCCACTTAATTGAGGCTCTTTCTTCCTCCTCACCTCCATTTCCAACTCCCCAAATCTTGTCTATGACTTGGGACCCAATTTAAAATCTCTGTACACTGTGCAGCTTTCTCAAGTTTCCCTTTGCTTTCTTGTTAAGACCCATTAGATCCTGCAGGCATTTGTATGACATCTTAATTTACCAGTATTACTTTAAAGTATTTGAGGGTAGGAAATGGTTTATTTATTATTACAACCTCAAAGAACCTAATATGGTATCTTGTACACAAGTGATTTATAATTTCTGTATTTTATTTATATTATTTTCAAATTTTAATTTTATTTTTAAATTTAATTTTATTATAATTTTAATGAGTAAAACATTATAAAAACAAAATTAAAGACTTAGGAGGAAATGCTATATATTGTAACATAGTTAATGTAGGTATGCACTTGAACGTTATTACCTTTTCACTGAAAAAATTTTAAACTTCAATATCTGAGTTTTAATTGGTTTTTAACAAGCTTTTTGGTTTTAGGCATCGAAATAATTTTTAAAATTTTTAAAAGGTAGTAAACTGAGATACATAGCATTGCATACAAAGAAAAAAAGCACTGTAATTTCCTCTCATGCAATTTCTGAGTTACTAAGTACAATTAACAGGGGAACTCTGGGTTAGAGGCCACCAATTCTTTTTTTTATTTAAAGAGAAAAAAGAAAGGAAATTAAAAAAACAAACAGTAAAAGGGTACAAGTAATACAAATTTCAAGAAAAAAAATACACAGTAAGAAATCACTAGTTAAGTGGGTTATATATTGTCATCTTAGAAACAGTTGTCCAAATTACAAAATTAAAGCATACAAAGTGGACATTCATACAGTGAGTGAGGCCACCAATTCTTGAAGCCAACAGTTCAACTGAGCTGGGATCACAAATCATGTTTGTATCAGTGTGGTCACATGGCAGAATCGCCCTGGCAAAAGAACTAGGCTGTCTTTCTTACGTGTTAACAGAGGTAGGATACTTTCAGAAAATGGTTGCAATTTAAACTGACACTCGTTCCATTTTAATGTCATGCCTTATTTTAAAATCACTTAGTAGAACTCAGACAAAGTGCAGGAATGAAGGAGAAACGAAGCGCTTCTGGCTTTGCTAGAGATAGTTATTATTTGTTTGCTCCATTAATGCTGCAGAAGACCTCCAGCATCCAGGTTTGCCAGCAGAGGGGCCTGTACACCAGTTTCCCACAAATGACTCCACAACCCAAACACAAAAGAAATATCCAATTTTCACTGTGGGTTATCTGACTGACAGAGCATTCAGTCACAACCAGCCCACCTCAGTTGTAAAATACAAGTGAATCCTTTGGGGCTGTTTCCTCTGCCTGTTGGTAACTGGAGTTTCCCTCTGCATGTTGCCTACAAGGGAAGAAGGAAATTGCCCAGGATTTAAGGAATCCAATGGTCTTTTTGCAGAATGATGTGTCAAGATAAGAACGCTCTAGAGCCCTCCCTGAGAACTAGCGCCATGTGCAGGTTGCCACCACTGGGGGGACAGCAGACCCTAGCCTTTTCCTGTGAGTCAGTGCCATTCACAGACCGTGGGGGAAAAGAATAAGAAATCACCAAGAAGCAAGCCTTCCCTGTGAACCAGTGCCATGTGTGGGCAGCCCAGGGGGACAGCCAGCCCCCAGCCCCTTCTGATCTGTAGCCTGGGAAACAAGAAAAACCACCCCACCCCACCTCTCATGTAACCAGCTGATCTGAAGAAATACAGGCTGCAATGATAGTTATTGAGGTGAAATGCAGTTTAATGTTTGTGGTGTTTGGTGTTTCACTGACTTTGTAGGTCTAGGGCCAGTGGCCTGGTCATCTATTCAGAGGATAACGGTACACAGTGTGGCATCTGGGGGAATCTCCTTCTGAAGGTGGTAGCCATTGGTGATTCCCTATTATCTTGTTTTGAAATCCTGTATCATTTTCATTGTTTTGTTGGGTTAGGTTTTATTCTGCTTTGTTTTGTTTGATTTTGTTATATCCGATGGCATAAGCAGCTATTTTAAAGATAGCAAGATACATTACGGTAGCCATTTTGGATTTACTCTTGTCTTGTTTTGAAGTCCTTTATTGAATGCATCATTTTGTTTTTATTGGCTCTATTCCATTCTGTTTTGTTAGATTTTTACTATGTCTGACAGTATATACAGCTATTTTCAAGACAAAAAGAGGCATTATGGTAATCATTGTTGATTTCCTCTTGTTTTGAAGGCCTGTGTCGCTTAGAGTGGTTTGTTTTGATTCACTTTGTTCTGTTTTATTTTGCTTGGTTTATTCTCTTACAAAAAAAAAAAAAAGAATGCGCTATTAAACTAGTTACTCTCATCACTACTGTTTCAGGTGTTGATAGATCATAGCTGACTAATCTTCAAGCCCAAACTGGCCAGTGTGCCAGGTGTGGTGGTGCATGCCTGTAATTCCAGCACTTGGGCGATTGAGGCAGGAAGATTGCTGAGAGCTCGGGGGCAGCTTGGGCTACACAGTGAGTTCAAGATCAACCTGAACTACATAGCAAGACCCACAAACAAACAAACAAGCAAACAGGCCATTGCAGGTTAGCAGCCTCACCAAAGCATTCTCTCTTTATTAATTTCAACCAAGGTCACCGAGCATTCTCCGCTTGAAGTAACAGTATCTTCTGTCTTCCCTTACTCAGAGGGAAGATCTCAGTTCTGGCTGCTATATATATAAGGTTATGACTTTCAGGATGTGTATATTCCTAATATGTTAGACATCAAATGCATTGCGCTCTTATTATGTGACAAGCATTGGAAATGCAACTAGCTCCCAGCCTAAGAAGCAGGCAGACAGGTGCAAGTACTCCTTTGTGAATTTAAGCCCTAAGGTTGTCTTGAGAATAGAAAAGAAGGGTCAGGGCAGTCACTGCAGCTCCAGGAGAGGCCTGGGAAACTTCATAGAGTGAATACCCTGGAGTCAAGGATGCACAGTCATGATCAGAGATCTGGGGAGGTCAGAAAAACAAGGGCCTTGGGTGTCTTACTAAGGTATTTGAACTTGATACCAATAAACAATGGGAAACTAGTGACAGCTTTTAAATAAAGAGATGGCACGATGCAATTTGGTTCTATAGAGATCACTCTTATTGCAGCCTGGAAGGGGTGAGGGAAAGACAAAATAACCAGAGAAACAATTTCTGCAGTAAACCAGACAAAAACATAACTGGTTTTGTTTGTTTGATGGTGGGCAGATTTAAGAGAAGAGATAAGACATGCTTTGTGTCTGAGGAGCAGCAGGGACAGGAGGAGAAGGAGTCTAAGACAACTTCCAGAATTCTGTCTTGGACAGAAATAAATAATTCAGTAAGGGGAACACATTTGAGGGAAGATGAGATATTCAGCATCTTGAATCTGAGGGGCTTGTGGGACGCTCCACAGTGAACAGATCAACAATCAAGTGAAATAGAAAACAAGCTCACAGGAAAATTCTCACAGACCCACACTTGTCAAAATGTGGGCTGCACATTCCCGCTGCATGACGTACACGTCAGCTCAAGATGCCGCGTGCGCAGCAGCTTTATTTCTCAGGTGCACTGTGAGGGCGCAGGATCCACAGGGGAGTCAAGGGGGCGGCTGTGACAAACATCACACCAGGTGTTAGAGATGACTCACAGCCACCCAGGGTGGGGCTCTGCTGGCGGTTAGAACTCAGGTGTGTGTGTGTGCCCTGCCTCATCAGCACACCAGCCTGGGGCCAGGAGCCAGAAAGGCCAGGCCCCCAAAGAACTCAACAATGGATGAACAGAAGTTAGAGAAAATTAAAGTATGACTCATGGAACGCATATGCCACGTCCCATGATGTGGCTGCCTTTACAACACTGTTCAGGGTGTCAGTGGGTTGACACTGACAGATTTAATGGGAGAACAACTCCCCAAGAACCCTTTGAAAGAAGAGAAGCTGACGGCTCCACAGGAAGGATGGGATGAATAGCCATATAAGGAAAAGACTCATGCAAATATACCCAGGTTGAAGAAAAACATAAAATGCAAATAAAGCTAGCCTTCTGGGGAAGCTCAATCCTTGGCCAGTGAGCATTTGCAAGACGTTACAGTATGCAAAGCATTGTACTGTGAATTCTGCAGGTCCACCTTCTGAGACAAAATTCTTTCTTGGCTCATGGGGTCTTGTTGCATTTGTGTTTTGGACCTGACCACCCTCTGGAGCGGCGCTGCGCCCTCCACCCCCAGCTTTCGGCAATGCCCAAAATGCTCTACATTTGTGTGGTCCTCTTACTGAGGGTGTGGAATTTGGCTATTATAACTCAGAAATCAAATTTTAAAATTACTTCTAATTAATTTAAATGTAAAGTCAAATAACCACATGTAGCTTGTGACCACTGTTTTATACTGGACAGCACAATTCAGGACCTTTGCTGCCTTTATGTAGGGATGGGTATTCTGAGTTTTTAAGCTATTGCAGGTTACTTGGAGATGCTTTAAATTTTAATTTCCCAAGTTTGGATGAATTCTCATGGACAAAACAATAAAAAATACTTACGTTGGGCAACAGCCTTTTTCCTAAGGTTACCAGCTTTCCGGTGACCTCACCAGTGTAAACATCATATTGAATAGGGCCTGAAGCATAACCAGCTGCTTTCGGCTATCAGGTTAACTGCCTGTATCTCCTTCCAATATAACCTTAGGTCCATGTGACCTGCAATCTAAATATTTAGTTGCTCAGTTGCTGAGGGCAAAAGGATAACAATTCTATCTCTATCAGCAGAATAAATGGTGCTCTTGGAAGGCCGAGAGCTGATCTGTACCTTCCTTTTCCGTGAAGGAACTGCAGTGGCAGTGTGTCCTTGGTCCTTGAAGTTGGTGTACTTGGAACAGTCTCCCTTCCAGCAAGGATACAGGATCTTGGAAGAGGAGAAGGGCTCATGTTGTTTTTCTTCATACATGCTTGCTGGTCCCCACATGCTGGGATAATTAATCAGTTTCATCATATTCTAAGGAGAAATTAGGGCTCCCATCCCTTCTCCACTAAGATTTGAGAGGATGTAGTATCTCAGTGCTCCTGTCAATCACAGCGGCTTTCTTCAGCCAGCAGTTAGTTGTCTTGGGGAGCCTGGGAAGGAAGGAAGGAAGGAAGGAAGAAAGGAAGGAAGGAAAGGAAGGAAGGAAGGGAAGAATGCTGCTGTCCTCTTATAGCCAGAGCCTGCCTTGATTTTTAGTTCACCAAACTATCCAAGTTCTAGCTGTATATGTAGAGCTGTTTATTTCCCTACCAAACTCTAACCTGATTAAACAGCTCACAAGGTTGTGTGTACCTCTGGGAAGGGTCTAGAATTAAGTTTCTTTATTAGGTTGGATTTAGAAATGTGACCTGGGATGGGGCAGAGACTAAAGAAAATATTATAAGCTGCAGAACTTGCTTTTCCACTGATACTAGTTTGGAGTATCATTTTCAAGTACTGTCTTGGACACCAAGACAGTTTGCGTGTAATCTAGTATTAGTGTGACACTTATGCTCACAATAAGCATAATAATAAGTATCCCCTTAATGGGAAGTTGAAATGTTCAGAGATAAAGCAGTTTGCCTACAATCAGGGGCAGAACTGGCCTTGATTAATGTTTTCTATTCTGCCAACCCACAAACTTGAATCTATTTAGGAGGTACCATTTTGAAGAACATCTTGATATGAGCTTGACAAGGATGGTTTCATTTTGGATTTAGAATAAACACAACCTCTGTGTACCCAGTAGTTAGAACCACTAGTTGTAGCAAGGAGACTGTGCCAAGATGGAACAGCACCAGGTTAACTGTGTTTGGAAACCTGCCTGCTTCTAGGCAGGTGTCTGGGAATGACAGCTTGACACCAGAGCCATTACTTGATGATAAATGCTTTACTTGTTCTAGGCTCATCAGAACTGTGACAATTTGAGGTTGAGTTAAGAAATGAACAAGTGATGAAAATTGCAATACAAGTGTCAAAGTTTGGTCATGGCACGTTTCACAAAGTGATGTGGAAAATTTTCCATAGTTCAAGAAATTGAGTTTTATTCTAACCACTGCGTCAGAGGATGAGCCTGTCTTCACAAGTCACAGTCAAAATGTTGCTTAGAGTTTTCAGCTGAGCATTCTCTGGATTAAAATGACTCAGAGGATTTTCAAACAGAGATGGGGACTTTGGTTGGCTTTACATTGTCTCACTGAGCTGCATCTTTTCCCTGCCACTTTCTGACTGACTGAAGTTGTTTCATAACTCAAGTGCCCAGTGTGACGTTCAATATCCTGAACTTTGGAAATTCAATCTGTCTGGCCTGGTTTTCCTCTGGGAGATTCTAGCTTTCTTCTTTCTTATTTCTCATTTTACAGTCTCTAGGAGACTAAGTCCAGGATCTCTTTGGCATTGTGTACCCTGTGGAAAGAGGTTTATTTAATATATCGTGCTTTTCCTCAGGATTTGAGACACAACAGAATAGGCCTAGGCTTGGAAGATTTAAGAACAACTAGATTTCTGTAGAAATTTGGATAAAGGTCCCAAACTGGGAGGGAGACCTCCAAGTCAGCTCATGAATGGGAGTAAAGTTGTGTTTTTGTTTTTGTTTTGCTGTTGCTGGTGGAAGATCTGGCTTAAGTGTCATATGGAATCTCTGACTTTATTTCTACAATGCAAGTCACAAGGTTATACTAGGTGAGGTGAGGACTGTGAATACACCAGTCAAGTGGTGGTTGGGCTGATGCTTTCAATGATAAACTCCTCTCTCAACCTGCCCATCCTCTGATTTTGTGTCTAGAGGCAAATATTTCAGTATCTCCAGAAAATATTTATAAGGTTAAGAGTAAAAAGAAGTAAAATTTTTTAAGAAGTAAATTTCACTGTGAAAAGCTCTAATTTTGTCCTTACTTTTGGCGAGAAGATGAGGCCTTAAAGGCACCTGTATAATTAAAGTCTAGTCCCCTAGTATATCATTATTTAGATAAGATTGAGATTATGTAAGCAGTATTTCATGTTCTCTGCCACACTAAGGCACAATGGCACAGTACAAACATGAAAATTATCATTGAACTTTAGATAGGAATTTTCAAGCTGGGAGCAGTGGCTCATGACTATAATCTCAGTACTTGGGAGGTTGAGGCAGGAGGTTCACTGGGAGGTCAAGACTAGCCAACATGACAAAGTGAGACCCTGTCTCACAACACAAAAAATAAAAAGGAAAGAAAAAGAAATTTTCAGTTCTATGTAATTTTTGTCATTGTTTTGTATTGGGTATAAATGAATAATAAAATTGTTTAGAAAATAAGATCTAAGTAACCTTTGATTATAGAAGGTATTTCACATAGTTTTATATGTACAATCACATCCTTGTTTGGAAGTAGTCTGAGTGCTTTCACACTGATGATTGAAAAAGCGTGTAATTTTTATAGCAGGAAGAAAAACCACAGGACTCTGACACCAGTTTGTCCCCCCATATTGGTGCAAGTCCCATCGTTGAGACTCAATACCCAACACTTACAATCCAAAGGATGAGAAGTTAAATTTAGCTCATGGTTTTTTGGGAGTTCAGTTCATAGCCAGCTGATTTGAAGATAGGAAAATCGTGGCAGAGCGAAGCTGCTTAGTTCATGTCAAATGGAAGCAGAGCAGAGGACAGTGCCAGAGAAGATGGGAAAGAGACCACAGCAAGTACCCAAGGCCATGTTCCCACGACCCACCCAGACACCCAGGAGGATGCTTTACTAATCTGCTAGGTGTTTCTTAATGCAAAGAGGTTGACATATCAGGATTAATGATCACGTACCTCCTGAGCGTCCTAAATGCACACATGCAGACACACCAAATGGCCGTGTCTATGCATGTGAATCTGCAGGAGAACAGGAGCTCTCAGCTCTCATTTGTTTAATAATTTCAACCTAGGAAGACTGACAGTGCTACTGTTTGACTTAAATTACATTATATTTTAACCATTTTAAATTTTATTTCTAAGTGTAAAAATGTAAGAATTTATCTTGGTGCTAAAAATGTGTCATTCTAGCCAAACTAGATTTAAGTTTTGGATTAATCTCACTCCCTAAGTTTAATCAGAAGCAGTCACTATATTTAGTCCTTGACTAACAGGAAAAGATCCAGGAAACACATTCTTCCTGGAGCTGCCAATCTTGTGAGATGGTCTCTTTCACCTCCAGCCTTTAGGTGGGATATTTTACTGTGTGATTTTTATGTCCCTTAGCAGAGAGTATATATCTCTCCCAGGGATACATCTACATACATAAACACCCATCACTGATATTTTAAACATAGCCTTTGAACATTAAATAACCACAATGCAAACATCTTAGATTAAAGAAGAAATCTCAACAAGAATTTGATTGATATTTGGTCCCAAGATCTATTTCAGGGGTCCATACCACTGATAGGAGAGAGTTCCTCCTCTAGAGTCCATTTCAGACATAAAATATTAAATGAGAATTCATAAAAGGCATATTACTCATCTTAAGTCAATTCACTATGCTAACAATCAGACTTGACTGCAGTTTGTGATATTTAGCTCTTACATAGGATAAATAAAATTTTTAAGATGTTAAGCATGAAAAATGATCAGATAGCTTGGCAGTTCAGAGCACCTTCTCTGTGTTTAGTCTGGTAGGAATGGAATCACTATACACTGTGAAATCTGAGGTAGCCCAGCTTTCTCATCTGTAATACACATACATATATGGTATACAGTGTAATATACAAGTAGATATGCATGCATCTAAGTGTATACATCTATATATATACATTTATAAATTCTAATACATGTAACATACTTAGCAACAGTGCTTGGAATGCTCAAAAATTGGGAATTACTATGGCTCCTATTATTTTAGGATTGTATTGCTATAATACTCATTCTATTGGTCTTCATATTTGTATTATTATCCTAGACAAAAATTTAAACAATTTCCAGTTATTACATGGTGCAATTATCATTGTGTTTTACTTTCTTCCTTTATTTGAAATAAGCACTAGACTTGCAATGGACTAAATCATGAGCCACAAACACGATGCTGTGCTGGGCGAGGCTTGGTGCCTCCAACTCTTAAAATTCGAAATGGCCCACCATTTCCGGTCTAGGTGATATCTCACTGACTGTGTCGCACCGTTTATCTGCAGGAAAGACGACCAAGGTAAAGTCGGAAGGCTCATTGTTCCCTGCTTCTCTCTGCCTGCACCTTTAGGATTCTGTTACACCTCCTTTTTGAGATGGTCTTTTTCTAAGCCAGTCTCTCCTCTGTCTCTCTGTCTTTGTCCGTCTCTGTCTGTGGTCCTCCACCCCTGGAGTAGGAAACTGTCTCCCAGAATTATTCTCCATACCTGTTTGGAAGATGCCTTGCTTAAAAACAGGGATCGCTCAGAATCCGTTTCTTGGTCCCCAAACTGGTCTTGTTTCTTTTCATCTGGGACTCTCCTAAACTGTCGTCTCAAACAAGCCTAGAGAGAGAGAAAAAAAATCTTTGTTTTATGACTAGCTCTAGTAATTAGGTTTCTCAATTGTGTGCCACGTGACCTAAGTCACAACTATCTCAAAGTGTTCATAAAATATCAGGTAGCAGTTATAAAGCCCAAGTATCGTTCTCACCTCCCTGGGCTCAAATGGCAGGTCAAAAATGTACATTGCTTCCCTAATAGAATCACATGCACCGAGAGGGATTTTTTTCAAGAATTTACACAACAGCTTTACCTTCTCAAGCAAGGTTTATACCTAACACACCAAGTTAACTTCTTCTCTTTCTCTCTCCATACCTCCTTTTCTTATCACTCCAACTCTGGCCCTCAGTACCTCCTTGTTCTAGGAGAAGAATCCCACATGCCGTTCCCTCTTCTTGGAATAACCTTTGTGTGATGTTCATTTGGTTAGTCCAGTTGATTATGTGACATCTCTTTAGTTTCCTCTGCCTTAACTACTCTCCTCTAGGCTGAATTAACTGCTGAAGAAGCAATGTGTAGTTATCTCCCACATCTGTGGTTTAGTTTCCAGTTACCTGTGGTCAATGTTGATCCAAAAATATTAAATGCAAGAGTCTAGCAATAAGAAATTCGTAAGCTTTGAACTTCGCCACCATTCTGAGTGGCATGTTAAATCCTACCTTGCCTTGGTCTGTCCTGCCATCTGTCCAGCACATTCACGCTGTATGTATGTCCTACTGCTCATCAGTGAGGCAGTCACTGTTTCCATGCTCAGATCCACTGCAGCAGTATTACAGTCTTGTGTTCAAGTAACCCTTCTTTTACTTATTAATGGCCCCAAAGTGCATGAGTAAAGATGTAGGTAAGTTTATTAAAGTGTATTATTATATTTTTTCCCTTTTGTTGCTGTTAGTCTTTTAATATGCCTAATTTATTATTTATTTATATACATACACAACTTGTCAGAGGTATTGGAAAAAACAGAATAACATGTAAGTTACATTTGTAGTACTATTTGCCATTTTGACTACTTGTGAGTAATGGGGGACCACTGTATGTTAACAAGTTAGTGTACGTACCCTGAATTATACATTTTTTCTATTGTGCTGTAATTTGGATTTGTTTTTCAACCTGTTCTTCCTGGCAGTCATGAGAACTGAAAAACAAAGACTGTCTCATAGCTTGAATTCTCCTGTGTCTATCACTTAATGTTAGTTGAATTGCATTTTTGTTTTAGAGGAAAAGGTCAATCCTTAAATTCAAAGCAATAAAAATAAAATAACCAATGAAAGTAATTTCCCCATTTCTCTTAGCAAAATTAAACTAAAATCTGGTACCAAATATTTCTCCTCCTAGGGTTAAACAAATCCAAGGGTATCATGTGCTACCCAGATTTCAAATGATTTTAAATACCTCTAAATAATAAAGCTTTTGTTGTTGTTGTTATTTTGATTTTTTTTTTTTTGTCTTTTTTGTTTTTATCGGTACCAGGGATTGAACTCACGACTGCCTGCTTGCAAGGCAGGTGCTTATGCCACTGAGCTAAATCCCCAGCCCATAATAAAACTTCTTGGAGCACTTTGTTACTTTTCTTTCTTCCTCCCTCCCTCCCTTCCTTCCTTCCTTCCTTCCTTCCTTCCTTCCTTCCTTCCTTCCTTTCCTTCTTCCTTTCTTTTTGAGACAAAGTCTTGCTATATAGTTCAGGTTGTCCTCAAACTCATGGTGATCCTCCTGTATTACCCACCCAAGTGCTGAGATTACAGGCAGGCACCACCATGCCTGGCTTTGTAGCATTTCTGTACTTGTAGATCTAGTGAGCCAATCACCTTTGCCCTTCCAGGGCTAAATTACCCACCATCATAGTAAAGAAATTTTGTGTAAAAACCAGTCAGCATCAGTATTTCCCCTTCTTTTAGAAAAAGCATTTTCCTCTCTGATGATGTAGGACTTACCAGAAGTTCATGGCACAGGGAAGCCTAACATGCTACAAGTTTGAGAATCCAAATAACCTGACACTAACATGATATGTACTGCCTGGGACTGGGAACAGTCAGTCATACTGCGCTTCACAACTGAGTTGCAGGTGAAGCCCTGGCCTCCAGCTTGCCACAGCGGCCGCCTTGGTCAACCGAGGCAGGTGGGTGCCTCATTCAAGGAGAAAGATGCAGTTTCACCCCTTTGCTTAGAAATGGTAAACATTCCAAAAGAACTGGTTTGTGTTTCTTTTTTCCCTGTCCCATGATTCATCTTGCTTAAAAAAAAAGTATGCCACACAGATAGTAAATTATCATAATAAATACTGGGGAGTATTTGTTTCTATAATGTAAACAAGAAGATTTAAAAAAAAATACTAGACAGTAACTATAATAAGTTAAACAAAAAACAGTAAATAAGCCAAAGCAGACTGGAAGGAGTCGGTTGAGGAGTTTAATGAAGTAAACAAGTGTGAGCCACCTTTGTTCTGTTGCTTTCGTGATGACTTGGAGTCAGCGCTGTGCGGGAGCCCTGGCAGGTGCTGTGTCCTAAGGCTGCGGATGGCTGTGTCACCGTAACCTATTGGTATTAAAGGCAAACGACTGCTGGACTGGAAGTGGAGGAGCCAGTGTGAGCAAATCCATGCAGGACCAAGGCAGATTTTGTGGGATGAACAGAATTCTTGTGGGCTGAGTGTTTTTTGAAAATTCTCTCCAAGAATGCATCTGACTCCCAAAAGGGGAGGAGGAATAGGTTAGCTTGAAATGTTGAAAAAAATCCCCCCCCTTTCTTTTTCTTACATTTTTAGATTAGTGGCAAGGTAGACACAGAAGTTACTCATTTTTATTTTGACGCGGTTGAGCAATCTTGCTGTGTAAATCAAACATTAACCCTCTCAAAATTATAGCGCAGCTGAAAAGGAATCCAGGGACAAAACCATCAGGTTTCCAATAGGAAATACCAGGAGCTTAGCCATATTTTTTGTTTGTATTTGTAAATGTGAATGATTTTATGGTTGTTGATAATGGTGTTTCTACAGTTGGGATCCTGAAGTGACCAGGCAGAGAGTAAAATCCATGGATCAGGAGGAGGAATGTACTGGTAATTTGTAATCACCAGTGGTCCCCCTTTTTGGACTTATAAATTATTCCCCAGCTAGTCCGCGCGTGCATCAGGAGTTAGATGACTATCCGTAAGTTTCTGAGTTGTGACAAGACCATCAGAAACAGTTCTGAAATTGAAGGCTTCAGGTAACTTTTTTCCTCGGGACTTCCTCCCGTTCCTCTCCTTTGCTGGTGTCCGCCGCCCATCCTCCGCTGCCAGCTTGTCCCTCTGACGACAGCACATGAAGTCAGGCTGCCTTCTGTGCAGAGCTTCCACTGTGGGCGCTAACTGCAGAATGTGCATATCTGCCTGTGCAAGGTGGCGTGGGTTTTGTGAGTCACTGTAACTCAATCCTGTAAACACAACAAACCCAGCTCTGCCACTTTCTAGCATTGAGACTTTGAGCAAGTTGACTTAACTCAATGGATTACTGCTTCCCTTGTCTGAATGGAGAGATGTCCCCATGCTGCAAGACTGTCAGCAGGCGAGCAGCAGATTCTGTCTGTAACGTGTTAGCAGGGACAGGACCTTTGTGAGGGCTCCACACAAGGTGCCCGCCTTGCCTCAGCACTATCATTATCAACCTTTTAATAGTATGTGTACATGCTTGTGTGTATGTATGTGGTACAGGAAATTGAACTCAGGGCTTTCACACTGAGCTACATCTCAGCCCTTTTTTTAAAAATGTTGTACAAGGTCTTGCTAAATTGCTAAATCAGCTGCGTTTGAACCCAAGCTGGGTTTAAACTTGAGATCCTTTTGCTTCAGCCTTCTAGAGTTTAGGGATTACAGACATATGCTACCCTTGGCTATTAACTGCTGTTTCATTCCCATTTCCTGGTTCACTTTTATTTTTGGAGTCAGCTCTTGCCAAAGCATAAGACTGTGATCTTGGTCCCAGGAGGAGGAGTCTTTCTGTCTGGGCTCATCTTTGCTCCTGTGCCCTTCAAGGAGGGATCTGTTCCTCTACTTGACAGTCCCTAACAGCCATCTGAGGAGCTCTCTGTCACTCAGCTTTTCTTAGGCATTATAGCTTTCTAAGTCCATAGTGGTGCTGAAGCCTTCTTTTTTATTATTATTAATCTATTTCCTCTAATTATGTAGGATCCTTCTTGATGACCGAGAAGCTATGTGCCACAGGAACACTTCTCAGACACGTAGTCCTGATATAAAATTATCATAAAGATGACTTGACTTTGCAGCTGAGTCAGGAACAGTGTCTGCAGGGTTAGTGTGAATCTATACCAGTAGGCATTTTAAGAAGTGGGAGTTGCATTGGGCTCTTCTTGGTCACTGCTCTGATGATGTATATGTGTAACCCAAGAGCAATCCCTCCCTCCAGCTTCCCGGTGCCATGTGTACCCACAGTCCAAGGCTTTAATTATCATTGGTGACATTATTAAAGTTCATTAGGTTTAAGCATTTAGGAAATCGAAGGTATGAAAAAAGTGTTTCAGTGATCTGGCACTATTTGTATACTCTGAAGTGGGAAGTCCTTGGTGTCCCAAGTAAATGGCCAAACTGAGAGAAGCAGCTAGGATTTCTTCCATGGGAAGTAACTGGCCATTGACTATGAAGGGCAGGGAAGCAAGTACTCAGAGGTGACCCAGGAAAGGGATCCTCTCTCTGATGCCTACAGCAAGGGAAGCTGGACGACAAGTTGAGTGACTCCATTCTGAAATGCTTAGGACAAGAATGGTTTTGGATTTGGATTTTTTCCAGGTTTAGGAATATTTGCATATACTAGATAATGAGACATCTTAAGAAGGGGGCCCAGTGTAGACATAGTCTGAAGGCGATTTTATATAATATTTTGTCCATGAGGCAAATTTTTCTGGCGTGAAACTTTCTGCTTGTGGCATCATATTGGCCCTCAAATAGTTTCAGATTTTGGACCATTTTGGATTTTGGATTTTCAAACTAAGGTCATTCAACCTGTGTCCCTT